GAAAAATCTAACTCTAATTTAAAGAGGAACTAGAACTAAGAACTTAAGATTAAACATTTAAATAAACACTAAAAACCAAATGATAAAAATCTAATATTAAAAACATTATGTTAAGTCACAATCACAACAGGCTGTTTTAGAAATCTGTGGAACAAATGATCTGCCATGTTCTCCATGTGAACATGGAGTGTGTGTGTTTTTCATTTGTTTATGGTTAACAGATGGGTTATATACATTGTGACAACAGTCAGCTCATCTTCATTGTGCTCCTGTATTGCAGTGTAGTTAAGCTTCAGGTCATTTGTGTGATACAGCTAAGATGTTGTGCTGTGACTTGTGTAAGTGCACAGGTGTATATTTGTACACGTGTGTGCGTTTGTGTGTTTCATGTGTGCTAATGCTCTTTCTTCACCTCCAAGCTTGGAGTTATTGCAGTGTCATGGGGTCACATTCTCGCTGGTGTGATACTGCACTCAGGCAAAATGCTTAGCCAAACAATCGACTTCTGTGTGATTATTAATAGTGTTATTGCTGCTCAAGGGTCTTTAAAAGGAAGTTATTGTGATGTGAGATATGGCGCTGCAGTTTCCATATCAAAAGTCTTTCTCCACCAGCACAAACAAGTCAAGTTTCTAAACCATATATTATTCCCTGTTGTTAGACTGTCTGGGCAGAGTGCTTTCATTCTTTTTCTTTCTCTGCCTTTCTTTTCTTTCTGTCTTCTTCTCCAGGGAGACATTTTTTCCTTTGTTTTTTTAGGGCTGGGCTAGGGTGGAGAACGCTAGTGTTGCTGGCGTTTAACAGGGCAGCACATCCATGCCAAAAAGTGAGTTCACCAAACTGCTGTTTCCCCAGAGGAGATGCAATAAGATTTCTGCTAGAGGCCCAGCCAGACACTTGACTTATAGATGAAAAAGGAGACGTGGGGAGGATGAACAACAAGGATTAGGGGTGAGGATGAGGGTGTGTTTGGGGTGAAGAAAAGGAAACTTGGTTTGCTCAACAAAAATGAATTTCAGATAACACAAACTGGATATTTTTTCATCTGAACATTAACAGGTGGATGGGGAACTGTGGTTTGGCTTGAGAAAGGAAAACCTCATGAATGAAAGTGTCAGGTCCCAGAACTTTGAATAATTTATAATTGATTATTTTGTTTTTAAGTGTTTATATTTCATCTTTTCGACCCAAAATGCCTCATTTCTTCTAATGTTTCAAGGATGAAGAGTTGGCTTGGCTCAGTTATTAACATAAGAATTTCGCCAATATTATGTTTTCAGTGTTAGTCAGTGTTGGTCAAGTTACTTGAAAAAAGTAATCAGTAACTAATTACTGATTACTTCCCCAAAAAAGTAATCCCGTTACTTTACTGATTACTTATTTTCAAAAGTAATTAATTACTTAGTTATTTAGTTACTTTTTAAAAACACGATTTACAACCTGAATAGGTGATAAAGCGATAGATCTTTCAGCCCAATTCTACTTTTTCTACATAATCCATCATACAAAATGTAATCAAATGGAAAAGTCTCTTTTTAACTTGTTTTATTAGTTTTAATCTTTTAACTTTATGCATCAAGCAAATATTTAATTATATGCAACATTTTCTGACTGGAAGAAATTTGTTTAATATTTAAACCTATTTTCTGCACATTCCAGCACATAAAATATATTTTTTGTGTTTACACTCAGTCTTTCAAATAGATGCAAGTAAAACACAGCAGCAAATAAATAAAGTCAAAGACTCAGTGGTCCTGTTGCTCTATTTTCACCTGTAAAGCAGGAGTGGGGTAGGCGGAGGTTTACCCTGGTGCAGGTGTGCCGCAGCAAGAATCCGCGAGTTTCTCTGTGAATTTCCCATTACGTCGTTGCGCACTCAGTGCTTGCTTGGAAGTTTAGGGGGGTTTTTTCGCTGTAAAAAGAAGTTTTCTTCCCACGCACGATGGACACTAATGTTTTTGTCACTTTTTATGGAATCAAACTTAAAGTAAGGTCAGTACTTCCACGCTTTAAACGCTGCACGCTCATACTCTCTCCTGCACTCGATATATGATCCATTGTTGATCTGCACACAGCTGTTGTCACTAACGGCGCACTCGCTTAAGTCACTGTCATGAGACATTCTCGCAAAAAAATCACGGTTTTAGTAACGCAGTAACGCAGCGTTCCTACGGGAAAGTAACGGTAATCTAATTACAGTTTTTGCAATAGTAATCCCTTACTTTACTCGTTACTTGAAAAAAGAAATCAGATTACAGTAACGCGTTACTGCCCATCTCTGGTGTTAGTGACGTGTTAAACGTTTTACGAGCATTGACACTAGGGCTGCACGATTAATCGTTAGAAAATTGCGATCTCGATTCATACTTATGTGCGATCTCAATTCCAAATGACAACGATTTAAAAAAAAAAAAAATAAGACGACGACGACGATTGTACCGCATTTTGATCCGGGACGTACTCTGCATGAAAACAAGCGCTCACTCTTCCTGCTCAACAAATGACAAATAAAAACAAATTAAGCCTACGTGAAAGTGGCAAAAACTGCAGTCCTTCGAGGTGCCTTTTGAGGCTGGCTTCAGTCAATTTCCATAGACTCCGATGTTAAAATGCCTATCTTTGCAGCAGTGAAAAGCAAAAGTACAAAAGTGATGTTGTACTTCCTCCCCTTCATAACAAACCCGAATGGGCTAAAAAGTTATTTTTATAACTACCTGTATCTGTTGGATCCTTTTGGAGCATTTTAGAAGGGATTATTTGACTAATATTTTAGCTTGCTATGGAGATACAGACCATCACACAAGTTTATACTTTGGCTTCAGTGAGTGACTTTTAGCATATATGTGTGTTTGTATGTTTGAGTCACGATTTCTACTGTCTTACCAGAGAAAGGAAAAAAAAATCAGAACAGCCCAGGTTTAAGTCCAAGTCGAGCCCCTTTGCTACAACTCTTCCCCACTCCCTCCCAGCTTTCCTCTCCACTCAACACTAGAGATACTAGAATATAAAAATGACGAGCAGGATACTAATAACAGATTGGCTTTTTCTTGGCATCTTAATTCACTAATAGACATGTACAACCAAAATTCAATAGTGCTCTTTCATTACAGAAATGCCATAATTATGACTAACGCTGTGATGTTGGACGGTGCACTGTCATGTTGTAGTGACACACACTTTCTGTGCTTTGAGAGCATGAGCCAAGTCCTTTTTATGTCCCAGGTTGCTACAGTAATGGGTGCTTACATCAATGCAGCCCTGACACCTGATTGGGCCGGCTGTAACCTATGGCCCATAGTACATAGACTTAGACTGCACTTATGATGTTTCTCCCATCTATAACTGGAAAATCGGCAATACCATCAGTAAAGAAAATAAAAAGGGAAATCAAAGAGGTTTTCCATAAGTGTGCAGCCATAGCAGCCAGGCTTGGTCTTTTTTAAAAGTGCTTTCAGGGATGCTTAGAGTGTGGCCTTATAAGGTCTTTACAACTTGACAACATGTCATGCACTTTCAGTTTCTCTGGCTTGTATTCTGTGTAGGCTGCTTATTAAACTGAGGCTCTAGAAGAAACATTAATAAGCTATGCTACACTCACCTGGGTCATATTAGTGATTTAAAAGAAGGGTTATGTTTTTAAAGCGTTATGAAAACATCTATATTACTACTTATGTGACATCACCAACATCAAAATAGAGAACCTCAGAATCCATTAAACACAACAAGGACACACTCATCAAAAAGCTGTTCCACAGAAGTCGTAGCACTCCATGGGGAACTTTCAAAAACTCCCAACTCCACAGCAATGGAAAAAATATATGTACATTGACGTATGCCGGCCACTAAGCTATTTGTTCCAGTGTTAAACCACATTATCAGATTTGATGTTTGTAGCCACAGTGCTGTTTTAGTACGAGGTGAAACGTCTGAGAAGTGCGACGCAGCCAAGATGGATCACGTCAGGCTGCGCAGTTGATCCCTCACCCTGTTGACTAGATTTGTAGGACTGTGCAGTGCCAACGAGAACACGTCCAAACAAAGCACGTCTCACCCCCACCCTTCAGCTTCACTGCTCATGAGCTCTGCAGTATAATGGCATGAAAATATTTTAACTCCATTTAAGACCACAGTTAATCATTGTGGAATTATGTCAGTATCTTTCTGTTGGTATAATTTCAGCCATTTTTAGTGTCTTTAACACAACTTCGGATTTGATTTCTTTAACCGACACTTTCTTGTTTTCTCTTTCAGACACTGTCTAATTATATTGTCTCATCTTTCTACCTAATATTTTCTGATTTTGACCTGAAAAGTGAAAGACTCCTCAGCAAAACAACGGCAACCATTGTGCCTCTGTTTTGCTCTGTTAGTGTCTATTAAGTGACACTTAGTAATGAAGTAGGCTCAATGCTGCACTGATAACATCGTTAATGGCTTCCTTTAAGTTGTCTTGGACCAGAAGAATATCTCCTTCTTCACGTTACAGCAGCTAATTACTTCCTTTTTGTAGTTCTGACAGTGATTAAAGGCAGATGGGGAGATTAATAATTTTGAATTATCGTCACCACCTTTAAAGACTGAAGACAAAAGATCATGGCTGGTATCCTTAATTCCCCTTTGTGTTTGAGGCATGATGGATCGAGTTTTGTATGAATGAGAATGTATGAAAATATTGATACATTTGAATGTAAAACTGGTCTTTTATCTCCTCTCATTATTGATGATGAGAGGAAATAAAGGAAATAATCCCAGGAATAGTGTATAGCATTTTTGTTTGAAAAAACATCTCTGCACAGAAGAGCCAGGCGTCATGAATGAAAGCAATTGATGTGCCTGGTGAGTGTTAATGTAGAGGGCTGTTGTTTTGTCAGTTGAATTGCAAGTGCTGAAATGATTGAAGGTTCTAGACCAGATCAGTTCAGTGCCATGTTTCAAAGCAGCTAAAATGTCATTTGAAGTTTCATTATTAAAAGTAGAGGAAACCTGTGTTCACTCTGCAGACTCCAAATAACGGGCCCCCTCCCCTGCCCAGCTCATCTCTTCCAGAAGGCTACTATGAGGAAGCGGTTCCTTTAGGTCCTGGAAAGGCTCCAGAATACATCACCTCCAGTAAGTGACAAGCTAATATATAAAACACATCAATCATGTAACAGTAGTTATGTTACAGACTTCTGAAGAAAAAAGTGAGTGTGTCCCAAGTTTTTGCGTTACCTGATTTGAATATAAAATGAAGGGCAGTCTATTCATGCCCTCTCAGACTATGACTCGGATGCCATGAGCAGTTCCTATGAGTCGTACGATGAGGAAGAGGAGGATGGGAAGAGCCAGAAGATGCGTCACCAGTGGCCCTCTGAGGAAGCGTCCATGGACCTCGTGAAGGACGCCCGGATTTGTGCATTCCTGCTGCGCAAGAAGCGCTTCGGCCAGTGGACCAAACTCCTATGTGTCATCAAAGACAACAAACTGCTGGTGAGAAAAACTCAGGCATGTTACTGTCTGTGTACGTAAAAATGGTGAGCATAAACTGCACTACAAACAGAATCTTTCTCTCCATGCAGTGTTACAAATCCTCCAAAGACCACACTCCCCAAATGGAGCTGAACCTGTCAGTGTGCAGCATCACACACATCCCTAAAGATGGCAAGAAAAAGAAGCACGAACTAAAGATTGTCCACCAAGGTGCAGACGCCCTGGTGCTGGCTGTGCAGAGCAAAGAACAGGCCGAGGAGTGGCTTAAGGTACATCAATAAATCTCAAAACTACTGCTTTTACCATCACACTGGATAGAGACGGTGTTTGTTTGAACTCTTTTTCCCATAAAGATGGAATTTGTACCAATAATGACGAGCTTTGACATCTTTATTGATATGTATCAATAAAGTTGTGGTTTGACGACCATTAGAATAGTTTCCGGATTTTTCAAGGGTGCACACCCAGTCTTTTTTTTTCTACTCAAACGACTCAGTTGAGAAGAGAACTTCAAAGGTTATGCCTGGTAGGCTTTTAAGGGGTAAAGAGTTAATCAGTAGATAAAGAGCATTCTGTGTGGCCCAACTTTGAAGCTGACAAGAACACCAGTGCAGCATACTAGCTTTTCTTGGATCTTTACTAGCTTTACTTGATTGCTGAACATCTAAAATATCTTGGGATCAGCCTTTAAGTTGCTTTCACATGTTTTAGAGAGTGGGTTCAAGTTACTTTTAAAGAATAAAGGGTGTAACTGTCTTGGCTTTCTTCCTCAGGATGGGCCTTTTCCTCGTATTGTATGACTGGTTTGTTGTGAACAGGTGGTTCTGCTGGTTTCTCTCTCATGTGGAGATGTTTGGTTTGCAGTCCTCTGAGTCCTTTCTTCTGCTTCTCTCTCACAGACTCCCCCCTTCCTTCCCCTGTCTTCTCTTTCACTCTCTGATCTTTCGTTCTGGCAGCTCAACAAGTCCACAAAACAAACCCGCCCCGCTGACATCAAATAAGCTCCGGTACTGCTTTTCTATCCCTGCAACCATTTGTTGTTGGAGAGCACCTCTGTGCTCTGTCTGTTTCAGTTACATTGATGGTGGGTGTCATCTGGTCTTTTTGTTTTAAAAGGAAACCCCCACCCCACATTCTTCCCTCTCATCTCTGCTCCCTTCAGATCTCATATGTATCTCCTGAAATTTATGGTTTCTCAACAACCTATCGTGTGCTATTTTAAGATGCCTCCTAGCGCATTTGTGTGATGGTATTTTTTATAAACATTTGTGGCCTCCAGCAGTTCCAGTGGACTTTTAGACTTGAATATGTGATTTGTCTTCTTGTTTTCCTCCTTGTTAAGAAAACAATCCCTCAAGCATATTTTCCCCATGTACTGATGGAAACACCAGTCTTACTATATGCAGTGTTTCCTTTTGGTCTTTCTCTGGAAGTTTCAGCTGTAGCATGTTTATTGCAGTCAGGAAACAAAGACCCAAACAGTTTGGATTTTTTCTTCTTGATTCAATTACTTGCTCGGCATGGTAATTAGATGTTGTTTATTGATTGGCTGGTGCAGGTAACCTCATCGGGGGGCTGAAGTATCTGCAGGCGGTTTCAACCAGACCCATGAAAATATACAAATCCCTCAATCATCCGAGTGATGGTAATGAGTGCACAAATTGTTGCTTGGAGAAACTGGGTCTGGACACATATTTAGTCAGGTGTCGGGATTGTGGAAACAAATTGAACTGATAGTGCCGTGGCAGGTATTTTGTAACTCTAGCAATTGCTCTGGGTTTTTTTGTTTACTTAATTGATGCACATGTAGTTCGTCATGCCACTACAGTTGGCTTTGTTACATGCAGGGTTACGTTCCTTGGCTGGTCTGTGTTCCCTTCAGCTGTGGGGTGTGTAAGAGTAGCATCAAGTCACACAAAGTGGATATGTCCCAGTGTGTCTGCTGCCCCCCTCCCTCTTTGTCTCTTTGTGGTTGCCACAACTGAACATGCAGACTACAATTCAACTTACTAAAACTGCTGGACAGGACAGGTTATTAAAAGAAGAAGGAAAAAATAGTAATTGAGACTGTTTTTGGATATTTTAAGTATTCGTTGTTCCCCCTTAAATTTATTTTTGTCTCTTGAGCTTTGTGTTTTTTGTCCACCTCTCACAAGCTCATCTTTTACCCAGAGAGACATTGAGCTTCAGTAGCAGTCATTCTTGAATATTATCGATCTGAATCAAAGAAGTTCAAATTTATTTGGATATTTTTCCCCCACTGGCCAACAGTGAAATAGAAGTCAGCATGAAGTCAGCATGTGAAATAGAAGTCATTGGCTTCAACAGAAGGAGCTGCCCTGCTTTGCTCCACAAAAGAAGGAGAGGAAAGAAATGAAAGAAAGCAGGGTGAAGGGAAAGCTGGGAGAGTACCTGAGGCTTTCCAAAGCCCATAGTTTACAATAATGACTCTCCCAGACCCTGTAGGCTAACGATGTGTTTATGGAGCACACATGTCCATATTGTGTCATTGCTTCATTTTCCTTTTCAGTGTTTTTTAATTGTATGGATTCCCCACGCCCTAACTCCTTCTTTGTCTTCATCTTTGCCTGCTGATATAGTCTGACCTCATTTCTTTGTCTCGCTGACTGACTAACTTCTCTTTTCTTTTCTTTGCCTGCATAAAGTTTGGGGGAAGTAAGTGGAATGTGCACTGTTAGTCACAGCTTATCTGCTCAAGTTTCCATTACAGTCCAACCCCTTGTGCAAACTCCTTGACAGTGTATGGTTGTCCTGTGCATGGCAATGCCTTCATCACTTTCAAGATAAGCATTTACAATACATTTATAGCTTGAGCTGTAATGCAACTATTCCAGCATGAGCCTTTAAAATAGGCCTCAATGAATTGTAAAAAAAACAAAAAAAAACAAACAAACCCTGAGACAGACAGATTAGTTTATTTTTAGTTTATTTATTTATTTTTTTGCATCAATTGGATAAGTGCTGCCAAAAGCAATCACTCAGAAAACAAAAGGTTTGTGTTGGTTGATTATATCTTTTTTTTAAATCTTTTGCCAGACAAACAAACAGACAGACAGACAGAAAACTTTATTTCAAATCCCTTTTAACAGGAAGAGAACCAGGGTCATGGAGGGACAGCCATTTGTAGGTTTGCAGACATTGTAAAGAATGGGTTTCACGTCTATTAAATGCTTCAAGTTGCTTCATCTGTAAAGAAATCAAGCTGTTTTTATACCATAAAATTGCAAAATGTGCACTGCAAGGAGGTGAACAAGCAATGAGCAACAAGTCATCAGTCAACACTATTTTCTTTTTTATTGCAAGTTGTGTTTCAGCACCCATAGTTATAGCCTCCAGTCTCACCACCTCCTCCTCTTTTTGATTTGTAGTGCATTATCAGACCTACGTAGTACACTGGCATGGCAGCAAAAGCTCTCCGAAGGAAAGATAGACATGATGTTGCTGTCTATCCCATTCTCTGGCCTCTTAGCTGCTCTCAGAGCCAAACCCATGGAGCCACAGCCTGTCATTTCCCCCACGAAACCCAGTTATGCTCCTTCCAAGCCAAAACCAATGAGTTGAGGAGCCCAGCGCAGCCAGAGATGGTTCAGACGAGTGGGAGTTTGTGTGTGTGTGTGTGTGTGTGTGTGTCTGCATGTGTGTCAGGGAGTGCATTAGCCAACTTGCGCACACAGCGGTTCAACTGAAATCTCATTTTGCTATACCCACTGTTCATCTGCACTCTCTGTCACTGCCACATGTCTGGGATTGCCAGATCCCATGGTGGGTTGCCAGGTCAGACATCCAATGAGGTCATGGTAAAGCACGCTGGCGCCCTATTCACAGCTCTGCAGATCTCATTCACCCCTACTGGACCTTATTGTGTATGGATTCCATGAATGCAGGCAAAGTCTTTGTGTCTCATGTTTGTTACAGACCTGCCAACCCCCACCCCACCACCAACTACTGCCACACACCACATGCATGCATGCTCTCCCTCCTGCAGTTCATGCACTGCTTGTTGCTCCCTTGGCTGTGATTCAGTAGCATGATGAGATGTGAGAGAGTTCACCATACATGTGGCCTGCATTACCCCAGTCAAACCTTCTAGACTGAAGGAATGAGCTTCTTAATCATGTGGCAATTCAGCGAGGAAATATTTTAGGATTTTTAAATTAGGAATCCACCCACATGGTATGATCAGCAGTCAGGAGCCGTTACAGATGGCGGCATCTGATCTCCCACAGCGGCAATCAAATATGTGACTGTGGACTTGTTTAATGTGAATGGCAGCCACGTTAGCTAATGGCGTATTTCCTTGTGGTGTTCCTAGGTGATGAGAGAGGTGTGTGTTAATGGGAGCATAGATTTGGATGGAGTTGGATCTGGATCTCCAGTGCATAAACCTGAACTGGAAAAGGTAAACAGAACACACTCACACTGATAGATGATAGTCATTTTAACAGCTTGTTGTATTTTGTCATTAAGCGTTGCTTTTGTAGGGTTTGAATCAGGTTTCAGGTTGGTAGAAGATTTGCGATTTGCGGTTTTATCTATCTATCTATCTATCTATCTATCTATCTATCTATCTATCTATCTATCTATCTATCTATCTATCTATCTATCTATCT